TCAAAACACTGTGTCTATTTTTCTTTTTCTTATCAAAACCCCACTAGTACGGATCAACATATTCTGTGTTTATAAATGTCCAATTCAATTCAGGAATCTCACCCGTGGATTTTGTGGAGCTGTTTATAACCCTGATGATGAGTCTCATGGTCCTTAGTTGATTGTGAAGATAAAGGGTCTAATTCTTCATTGCCTTGCATCATGCATAGTCATTTACATTGATGAAAAATGGGTGCACATTGCTACTACCAATCAGAGTATTTTTAAATCATGCCATTCTGATTGGATAGCATTTTACAGCCATTTTGCACTCTGTTTGCATTGGAGTAAATGATTGCACAAAGTGCAAGTCAGTAAAAAATCACTCCAGCTTTCACTGGCTTTGTAATCAAGAATGGCCCAGTGCTTAGGGTACTAAAAAAAGACTTTAGAGACCTATATTCAAGTTCTTACTCCACTACAAAGTTTCTACGTAACCTTGGGCAAGCGTCTCTGTGCTTCACATCCACATTTGTTAAGTGACAGTACTAATGCTCCATTCTCACATTAGAGATGGTGAAGTATTTTGGGATCTAAAAATATAAAAGCCAGGTATTATTTGAACAGGCTTTCTGTTTTTTTCTGTTTCTTTCATTTATAGATAATGTTGGATCTTAACCAGTTATTTCCCCCAGAACATCCTTTTCTTTCTCAGTGTATGTGTGTGTGTACAATATTTATGAAATCACATGTGATGGCTCTTTCTGCCTAAGTCATATCTCAAATCCTTCAGAAGATGCATTTATTTATATTGCATCAAGTCCAATCAATTCATATTTTTAAACATTAGGGCTACGTCTACACTGGCCCCAAATTCCAGAAAAGTCATGCAAAGCAGGTAAGTCAGAATAGGGAAATCCGTGGGGGATTTAAATATCCCCCGCGGATTTAAATAAACATGTCCACCGCTTTTTTTCCGACTTGGGGAAAAGCCGGAAAAAAGCGTCTAGACTGGCGCAATCCTCCGGAATAAAGCCCTTTTCTGGAGGATCTCTTATTCCTACATGAAAGGAATGTGTATGGTATGTTCGGCTTTTCAGAGAAAAGAAATATGAAATTAGGAAATAATTTTGCCCATACCATTAAGTTTCCATATATTGGTTTTGCATTGGAGACTAGGTTATTTAACAATTAGTCTGAATTATTCAATTTATCAATTAAACATTTTTGCTCATTTCATTATATGACTAATATAAAAAAGCTTCTTTTATTTTACCTTTTTAGGATTAAATGTTTAGAGCCCAATTGCATGTGCAATTTTCAGTCTATATTTGCACAGATACAACATATGTTTTCCTGTGCAATTCCTATGACTACACACACAAACAGGTTTTGGATGTCAGTTGTGCAGATTGTTACATATGGGTTTTTGATGGTTTCTAAGGGGTTAATAGAGCCCTATGGAGGCTGCACAGGAGGCAGCCATTCAGATTGGGGCTAAGAGGAACAGCTAATCAGAGCCTGTCAGTTTCATATAAGAGCTGCAGGGCAGATTAGGGTTGGTTACTGTATGGCATTGTTCTCCAACCTTTTTAACCACCAGATCACTTTTTCAATTTAAGTGCAATGTAAGATCTACCTCAAACCCAATGCCCTTGCCCCACTTCCTTCCTGCCCCTTCTCTGAGGCCTCACCCTGCTCACTCCATATCCCTTCTTCCCCCATCCTCACTCACTTGCACCAGGCTAGGGTAGGGGATTTGGATGCAGGCTGTGGTTTTGGGTCAAGGGGTTTGGAGTGTGGGAGGGGCTCTGGGCTTAGTCCAGGGTGGGAGATTGGTGACTAGTAGGGGTTTCAGGGTGCAAGCTTTGGGAAGGAGTTTGGGTTCAGGAGGAGTCACATATGGGGCAGGAGGTTGGGTGTAGGAGAAAATTCAGAGCAGGGACAAGGGTTCAGGAAACAGGCTCTGGCTGGGCACTGTTTAACTGAGATAACCCCATTGCTCCACCATGCTGGAAGCTAAGGCAGGCTTATTCCTGCCCGGGCCCTGCATCACTCCTGAAAGCTTCTGTTGGGTACAGCAATGGCTCCATGGCCCCTCATCTACAGGCACTGAGCCCACAGCTTCTATTGGCCACAGTTCCCCACTACTAATCACTGGAAGCTGCAGGAGTGATGTCTGCAGGCAAGGACGGCATGTGGAGACCCCCCAGCTCTGCCTTTCTATAGGGCTGCAGGGACATGCCAGCCACTTCCAGGAGCAGCAGTTATCATAGGGATACTTGCTCCAGCCCCAACAGGTTAGGCATTTAGAACTCACTACTCAAAGAATTACATTTAAGCATGAGAGAGAAATGAAAATGATGAAATGCACAGACCAGTCAAAAACAAAAAACAACACACTCTGCAAGCAGTAAAAGGAGTAACAACAACCACCCACATATGTGTTGGATCAGGAGATGAGCGTGAAGGACAATGTATGTTTGTGTTGTCTTCAAGTTGTCATTGTCAAGTCCAAGTCAAGTCTCAAGTCACAAACAATCAACCCAAGTCAAGTCTCAAGTCACAAACAATCAACCCAAGTCAAGTCTCAAGTCACAAACAATCAACCCAAGTCAAGTCTCAAGTCACAAACAATCAACCCAAGTCAAGTCTCAAGTCACAAACAATCAACCCAAGTCAAGTCTCAAGTCACTAAGTCTCAAGTCGAGTCACCTAGGCGACTTAAGTTGGACTTGAGTTCAAGTTGTAGGACTCGAGTTAACAACTCTGGTTTGTGAGAATGACAGACACACACACTGGCTACGTCTAGACTACATCCCTTTTTCAGAAAAGGGATGTAATTTAGATGTATCGCAATTGCTAATGAAGCGGGGATTTAAATCTCCCGCGCTTCATTATTATAAAAATGGCTGCCTTTTTTTTTGGCACAGAGCTTTGCCGGAGAAAAGCGCCAGTCTAGATACTGATTTTTCGGAAAATAAAGCCTTTTCCGAAAGATTCCTTATCCCTCTTGAAATAAGGGATAAGGGATCTTTCGGAAAAGGCTTTATTTTCCGAAAAATCAGTATCTAGACTGGCGCTTTTCTCCGGCAAAGCTCTGTGCCAAAAAAAAAGGCAGCCATTTTTATAATAATGAAGCGCGGGAGTTTCTCCGGCAAAGCTCTGTACCGAAAAAAAACGGCAGCCATTTTTATGCTAATGAAGCACGGGAGATTTAACTCCCCGCTTCATTAGCAATTGCGATATGTCTAATTTACATCCCTTTTCCGAAAAAGGGATGTAGTCTAGTCGTAGCCACTGTGTGTGAGTGACAGAGATTTGCATTGCCAAGCTCCCTCCCTCCCCTTCTCTCTGTGTGGAGATAAGGTACAGGATTGGGGGAGGGAGAGAGAGACCCTGACACCAGCACCCTCCTCTTCTCCCTTCCACACTCTGCACAGCAAGCAGAAGGCTCCCAGGAGGGCAGCTCCAAGGCAGAGAGTAGGAGCAGCAGGACAGTGGATGGAGGGGCAACTGAAGTGCCAGTGCTTGATAGCTCCGTGGCCAAACCAGTCAGGATCACCCGTCAGAGGCTCCAAGATCTACTATTAGCTCCCAATCTACTGGTTGGTGACCACTGCTCTAAGGAGTTTAAAGAAGGATTACTATGTCTGTGTCTAGACTACACCTCTCTGTTGACAGAGAGATGTAGATTAGGTACGTTGAAATTGCTAATGAAGCAGGAATTTAAATATCCCGCGCCTCATAAGCATAAACATGGCCGCTGCTTTTTTCCCGACACAGAGTTTTTTTGTTTTTTTTTAAAAAGGCAATCTAGACATGGATCTGTCGAAAATAAAGCCTTTTTCAACAGATCCTGTATTCTTCAAAAAATTAGGAATACAGGATCTGTCGAAAAAGGTTTTATTTTCGACAGATTTGCGTCTAGACTGCCTTTTTTTCCCCCCTCCGAAAAAACTCCATGTCGAAAAAAGTGGTGGTCAAGTTTATGCTAATAGAGGCACGGGATATTTAAATCCCCGCTTCATTAGCAATTTCGATATGCCTAATCTGCATCTCTCTGTTGACAGAGAAGTGTAGTCCAGACACAGCCTGAGTGACCATTTAATTGGCATTTAGTAAATAATTCTATCAATAATGCACAAGCTAGAATAGATTCCCGCTTCCTTCCTCTGAGCTATATTGGTTCTGAAGGCTGAAGTGAAATGCAATATAAAACATTTACGTTACAGAAGTTTTGGAAAGAAATAGGGAGGAAAACACATAAGCAGAAAGATTGCAACATCTTGCTGTCACTTAACACAAAGTTTAGGATGTGGCATTCAGCACCTTTTCTGAAAGGCTTTTGTGTTCATTTTCACCAGTAACTTTAGAGCTTTTTGGAAACCAACCTGGATTTCACAAAATTGCTGAAAGTTACTTTAGCTGATTTTATTTTACGGATATCCAGCAATAGTTTCTCAATTGCATCACAGATACAAAACAAAATGCTTGGTATACTGGGAAGCCACCTTCAAAATATGCTGCTTGTTTCGTAAAAGATACATTTCTTCATACTATGTTTCACCTCCAGGCCAAGTGAAGGCACTAACAGAATGCTGTACCTGCCCTTCTTTCTTCTAAATAGGGTTTATTAGACTCTTATTAGTAAGCATTGGCTTTTGTTAAATATAAAATTCAGTTACTTACTGCGGAAAGACAGCTCCTTTGTTCCCTGATGATTGCACAGAATCCCAGAAAACCTGTAATCATCCTGGCATTCACTGGCCACTGGGCCGGGGGAGAGAGAGGCTGCAAGGAGGGGATGGGCCACCCCAGGGAAGATGGGGGGGGAGGAGGCGAAAGTGCCCCACATGGGAGGGTTCTGTCTGTCCCGGCCATACTACATGCAGCCCGTGGAGGCCAGGATCGCAGTGAGGGTCGTTTCTGGGAGTGGGGCGCGGGGCAATGCCAGGGAATGAACACTTCCAGCCACGCGGGCGCCCCAGTGATTTGCAGTTTGCTGTGTCTCTCTGCAGGTGGTCAAGGCCATCAACCGGGTGCTGCTCCGCAGGGTGGTCCACCTCGCCAACCCGGACGCAGTTGGGGTTCGGTGCCCTTGGCTTCCCCTACTGCCGGGAGGCCATTGACGTGATGCACATTCCCATCCATGTCCCGGAACACCAGGCCTCCAAGTACATTAACCGAAACGGATACTTCTCCGTCCTCCTGCAGGCTGTGCCTGACCACCGGGCCAGTTCACGGACATTAATGTGGGCTGGTCCCACAAGGAACACGACGCCAGGGTGTTCCGCAACTCCTCCGTGTGCCAGAGGCTGCAAGCTGGGACCTTCTTCCCCGACCATCACATCAGGGTCAGGAACGTGGACATGCCCGTCTGCCTGGTGGGGGATGCGGCCTACCCCCTACAGCCCTGGCTGATGAAGCCGTACATGGGGCACCTCAACCCGTCCCGGCAGGCCTTCAGTGCAAGGCTCACCAGGGCCCGCATTGTGGTCAAGGGGGCCTTTGAATGCCTGAAAGCCTGATTTAGATGCCTCCTCACCCGCTTTGACCTCGCTGAGCACAATATCTCTCCCGTGGTGGCAGCATGTTGTGTGCTGCACAATTTATGTTAAAGAAAGGGAGAGGCTTTCCTGCCAGCTTCGATGGCTGAGGCTGAGCGCATGGCTGGCCAGTACATGCAGCCCCGCACCGCCGCCATCCGGGAGGCCCAGCAGTGGGCCGTCCACATCCGGGAAGCCCTGCGGGAGAGCTTCCAGGTGGAGGAGGACTGAACTCTCCCTGCCATGCCCCACTGAGGCCTTCTTCCACCCTCCCCTACTTCCCCTTTCCACTCCCTAACCCCCCTTCCTAATGTAAAATAAACACACCTATTTTGCCAAAAAACCTTTATTGTACATAACTGGGGTGGGGGAAGGGAGGAATGAGGGTGGGAGAGGGGAGGGGGAAACCTGGGAGGAGGGTGCTGGAAGGGGGATGAAGGGGAGGAAGGGAAGGGAAAACTCAGGCTTGGGGGTCCTGCTGGCTCTCCCGTCTCACAGCACTGCGGATGCAGGGGCCTCGGTGGGAG